AAGATCAAATGTTTTCCATCTCCTAATTGAACGAAACGAAAGTCGAAATATTTTGCATGCTCATTACTAATAATGGAAATATTTGATACGTTTTAAGAACATTAAATATCCAATAACCCCTTAAAAATTCTCAATCATTTCAAAAGAAATACAGTTTTTAAAAATCGTCATTATACACATGATTGTAGTCAAGTTTCTTACAAACGAAAGGAAATCCAGTCTCTGTTTATGAGCCGGAGTTTCGTAAGCGATGGCATTAAATAATGGGCACAGCTCTACAATAATTATGATATTTGTTTGCTCTTTAATCAAATGAAAAAACCGACATTATACGATATAATGTAAAAAGGAGGTTTCGATATTTTGTGAAACTTATGGCATGGATCTTCGATTTTTTTTTTTTTTTTCATTTAAGGAACCACTTCTGAGTTTAAAATAGAATAAAAAAAATGAAAAAAATTAAACATTCGTTACGATGTGAAAATGAAACTCGTGAAAGAATTATATTTATCAGGTACCGAAGATTTTATAGATGTTTATGAAATGAAATCATGGAAGACCACGTTTAATTCCATACCTCTATATTATGTATGTCAAAATGAATATGGTGTCATGAAATTGCTACGTTACAAATAAAAGGGCACTTAAAGCGAATCACAGCCTCGCTGGGTTTTTATGCGGACACTTTTAAAGACTTTTGGGCTCAGATCAAGACGAATAATCGAAAAGCAACACCGCCTAATAATTTCCAATGATTTTACATCCCCTGCCCCCTCTTCTCCGTCTCCTCCATCCACTGAAAAAAGAACAAATATTCCATTGCGCCGTCAACACATGTCCAGTTCGCATGTTTCAGAATTTCTTTCAACACTTTCAAAAACTTAATTAAGCTGATACCGATAACGTTTTATCAAAAAGAGTCGTTGATATCTAAACTGGTCGGGCTGTTTGTGTTTGTTCTATTAACAAGTTGTGTTCCTTTTGATGAAAATGGGCGATAAGTGAGGGGAGAAGGTTGCGATAACGGTAATAAAAAACTTGTCAAAAACTAAATGCTGTTTGTGAAGCCTTATCCATCCTCTTTGAGCCAAAAGTCATTGACTACAGATTGAACATTTCAGAAATTAAACCGTTGTTACTAACAAAGACAGCCGATTACTAGGTGATCAGTCGTATTATCACCGTGTTCACTGCAGCCATAACTCAAAACCCTGCCTCATTAAGTTCCTTGTCCGTGAAAATCGCGAGCGGTGGAAGGACAATACTGCTGTTTGTTTAAGGAAAAAATCGAAAGCACTGTTTGTATAAATGTTGTAAATCAATAATTTCGTTGCCGTTTTTCGTCTGATAATTTTGTGCAGAGATTTAACAAGTAATTTCTAATATTGATTTAAGTGATTTAGGTGACTATTTTTTCTATTTCAAGCGTTTTCTTTCAAAAAATATTTACAACAGAATTTCATTTCTGTGAATAAATACATCATTTTTTTTAATTTCTTAAAATTATTTTTGTCTACATATTCAGAGAAATATTGATAAAGCTGGTGACGTCACTATTAATTGAACAAGAATTTCATGGAAACTATCCGCTTGTATTTGATAAATTAGAGTTAACTAAATATCACTAAAACACTCCATTATCATTCTATAGCACATTTTAAAATGTATAAATGTTTATCAAATGACCCCATTTTTCTATGTTATACATGTCGAACGCACCCACACTGTTCCACATTTAAGAAAAACTAAAACAAATACGATAGAGATGAGACGAAGACGAAAAAGACAGACATTTAATGAATAGCCAAGTCATGGGATGATATTTTTTTTTCATTTTTTCCGACGGAACAAAATTACATGTTGCCCTCACCTTACCCCCATCTCAACTCTAAACTCCTCACGCCATTAAAAAAACAGAACCTCACGGGCCACGTAGCACCAGAACTTCCCAATCTCTTGTTTTGTCGCGATTAATGTTTTCCATCGTTTTAATTTTCACATTTAATCAATAAAGAACAAAAAAAAAAAAACGAAAAAAACAAAGACAGCAAAGAAATCCGACAAGAGCGGTGTTAGACAAAGACTGATGAAGACAGATGGACGCGACAAGGGCTCCCGACTTCTGTTACGTAAGCCACAAAATGGCGCTACACAACAGAAAGTTATTACATTTCAACAAATGTAAATTGAATAACAGCGATATTGCACGAGCTCGTGTCGTTGACAACAAATTATTTTCTGTGATGTCAGGTCGATATGTCTTTTGTACGTTTTCATTTGGAAAAAGTTGCAGATTCTCAAAACACCATTTTTTTGTATTTTCAATAACATTCAACTCATCTGATACACTGAACCATGTCTGTGTTCCATCACCTCGGGTTTCGGCAATGCATCCATTTGCCAATACAATTACTTCGTTTCTTTTTTCGGCAGTTTTTAAGTACGTGTGATTTTACCTAAGCCTTTTGATAGAGAAAGGAATTAATTATATTTTTTCGTTTCTATATCTTCGAATTTCATTTCTAGCTTTAATTCAGTCACATTTTTATTCATGCCACATAGATAAAATGATTGTTGTTTCAACAGACGTAAACACACTATGGGTCTTCTATTTGTCCATTTATCTAATTTATTTATTTATTTGATCGCGATGAAAACTGAAAAATCACGAGGCTTCCTACCGTCGTAAAAAAAATCAAACAGATGGCTTAACTTTTCCAAACCCGATCTAGGAATCGAACCCTGGTCGACTAGATGGAAAGCAAGTGTGTCGCTCTGTCTCTCGCATCTCATTTCCTACATAGATCATTTACTTCTATCCCGCACTCATAAAACACTGCAGACGACAGGTCCGCCACTTGAGAAGTCACCTGGTCGCCTCAGTAATGTTTGCAAACCGCAGCATGGCGCCTCTTATTGAGTTACAACTAATTTACTGGCAATTAAGAAACTTCTAATTTCCAACAAATTCAATTTGTGTTGACTGCACTGTGGAAAAGTGCACTGGTTTATTTTCTGCTCTGAAAATACGTCAAAATAAAGTGAATAATCGACAACATGCCCAAAATACACCTCGCATATCACGGCGATAACAAAATTTTTGAAATCTCACAGCAAAGTTTCAAAAATATCGTCAACTCCACTTTGTTAAAAAGTCAACCGCGCAGTGAAATAATTCGATCACACTATCTATGAATCACTTTGTCATTGGAGTCACAATGGCTCAGTCGGTAGTATATCCATACCCGGAGGCGGTTTGTGTTTTAGTGTATCCTTATGTGAGCCATGGTCACACAATTACCCCGAAAAGCATGTTTCGACCCTCCAGCATGATGTTCACTAATTCAACCACCATGCACCTACCAGTGGCGATTATAAAATTTTTGACGATATCACTGTCAATGCCACTTAAAAAAACGCAATAAAAATGTTTTGAAATCTTTCGCTATCTATTCTATAAAAATTTGAATTAATATTTTCTGGGGTTTTTTTTATACAAGACAGGATATAATTCTTTGGCAAATAAATATAATGAATGAGAATAAATAGACAGTTAAGGGAATAAGGTACATTAATTGACGTCATAACAAACTAAGCCTGGTTTGGTTTAAGATACAAAAATCCAGACTAGTCGAGATGTTACAAACCAGACCGGGCCGGGGGCAGTAACTCTTTAATTCAATAGATTTGTTGATTTTCATTATCAAATATGTATATGTATGTATGTTTCGAATGGATTCAAACTTGGATTGCAGGAGTCCACTAGCACCCTCTTTCACCTGCATCGTACATACCGATCTTACCTGTAATACAGACATGTATGTATTTATTACATCATGACTATTTTGATGAACTAAAGTATCAATAATAGTTATTCTTTAGTCCGTGTTGTTGTAAATGTGACCCCCATTGAGAACATCTCCTGCCATGCCACCCTGTCAAGTTGTAGCGCCCTCTTCATTAACGTCTACTGCATGCAGACGGTCCCGTAAAGCTTCCGTGCCCGTGTGTACATTTCAAAGGTCGGATGTTCCTTCCGGGATCAGTAGTATACTGATGGAAGCCGACAGTCTAGAAAGATTGTAGTTATTTGCCTGCCATCAGACTGCAAATGGCTTACTTGTTGCTTAACAGGTTGGGCTTAGCCACGGGAATATGTCTGAGCTATGATTTTTTCCTTTAGATATAAATATATACTGTATTTTGTTTTGCCCCAATCTGCCACTTTATTCCGCACGATACCTTTATCTAAAACGTTGAATACACTCATTTCTTGATGATAAAATCCACTATTTCCTAGATTGTCAAAGAGATAAACGAAACCCTTAGATAAAATAAATAAAAAGTTTACACGCACTTTTCATCTACATAAACAACAAGAAAAAGTATGTTCAAAACACGAAAATTCAGATGGAAAATGAGATAATTGTGTACTAGAAATATTGATGATTCTTTCCCGTGACGTTCAATTTAAGCTGTCAGACAGCCCACATTCAGCTAAATGTTTGACAGTGTTGGCGATATGGTGACACTTTTATTAGTTTAGAAACACGAGAAAGTAATGTTTTGTTATCTGTTTCGAGAGACAAGTATTGTATGTCAGCTCAGATTTTTTGCTTGTAGTATTATCTGTGAAATGTTTGGGAGTGACATTTAGACACATTGCAGAAAATTGCCAAGTAATATTTTGTTTTTAAACAACGCCTTCAGTAAATGTTGTTGACGAGAATTTCTATATATTTTTTATACAAATTCATTTGAAATTGAGAGTAAACAGTATGTACACGTGTACATTTCAGTTATTCATAACAGACATGGGGCATGAAAACGACATTCAGCATAAGAAGTAAAAATGACATTTCGATCAACGAATTTACTGCGTAATTTGAAATTATTTCGAAGAATAATGATTATTTTCATATATTCTATAGCGTTCTCTAAGATTTATACGAGAAACCATACTCGTTCTAGTAATATTAAAAATTCATTTATTTTCACAGATGTAGTCGAGCTTTGCTGTCATCATGGTTGACGTGACGTCATGATCTCGCCTGTCTTGTTGCTATGGGCGCTACTTTCCGTTCTCGTTTCCGCTCTCAGCACCTACTCTTTCGTCCAGCCTGCGTGGTTCGTCACTTCCGGTCAGTCCAACAGCTTTGGCATGATAAGCTTGTGTATGACCCGGATTGAAGTCTCGCACACGCCTGACTACGAGATTTGTGAGTTCTATGGTGGATATTTTAACCTCGGAAACTTGCCGTCGGGAGCGTGGCAGGCGGCATGTGTGTTGTATGGAGCGGGATGTATACTCTTGTGTTGTGGCGCTTTCCTAGCCGTGACAACTTCCTGTATTCCGAGTGACGTAGTGAAGACGGTGACCGTCATGGCCGGCTACGTACAATTTATTGGAGGTAGGTCCTGGTTATACTTAATATCCATTTCTTCACAACATATCAACCATTCCTGTTGGCCGAGATAAAAGGTCGAAAGGGGCCTTAATGTGGGAGAAAGGCATATTTTATCCCGTCCGAGCGAAAGTTCATTATAATCAGTATAATTTATTACTCCTATGTTAATAATTTGATATTAAGAATAAAATGAACAAAAACAATTTAGTCCTACTTGATTTCATAAAATGTAGGTAAATTGTTATGTCTCAAAACATTTAGACGGAATCAACCTCTCCGGACCATCGGAGCCATTTGTAACATCTATACTGGCCATTACGTCATACCATACTAAAGGTACTTGAACAACTGGATCAGTGGAAAAACGGATTAGAGGAATAAACGGATTAGAGGAATAACGGATTAGAGGAATAAACGGATAAACGAATTTGACATGAAATATTTGTATCACTTGACTGGTGAGTAGTTAGATAGGAATATGTTTATATGTCTATATGAAGGTGACGTTGATATATTGTTGTAATTATCGAATTCGTGTAGCATAAGATCAGCTGATTACTTCCAACGGTCAGTAGTCTTGACCAGTGGTCAGTCAATGTGACCAGTAACACTGACCAGTCAGACGCAAAATTACTTTTACTCCTGGGTAATTTTGATGACAAATTATGACGGACGCTTTTGGATGGTACGGACAATGAAAGAATTTCTTGGACGCTGACCGTTGGTCGGTTTGACCAGATCAACGTAAATTCATCTCGTACCTCCCTCGTGGTCAGTCCGATGAGCAATGGAGGCGAAACAAGTGTCTGAAATATCCCAGGAGCGGTCAAGAAATTGATGTATGCGGGCTGATGACTCAGACAAGCTTCAGGTCATAATCTGAGAGAAATGTTTGATGTCTCATAAATATGACAATCACGTGCATATATGAGATGCAGACATAAAAGGTCACGGTTAATGTCTTGCATGCTAAGTAATATAATTCAGGAATGGATTTACCATCGTAGGAAACTGATGCAGTGAATCCATGTATCACTTGTGTATTACCAGCTCACGAACTGCCAATAGCTTATATTATAAGTAATGTAAACAATTTGAGGCTTACGCTCTACATAACTCGATTCATCGAATTTGTACTTCTCCGGTTGTTGGCATTCACACCACCAATGAATGCCATATGGAATAAGTGTAATGCAGAACCCTGTGAATTGTGGACATTTCATCACCATACTACTCCCGTTGGCGCTATATGTCATAACACTATCCAGAGTCTATCTTTTATATTCCTATGCTCCCTCTCATTCCTATATACCAGTTACTTCATTACACACTAGGCCATCAATTATCCTGTCTATTTATTTTCCGTGCAATATTTTCATCCCACGACGTCACTTACATGAAGTGGCGAAGAACGTAACATCTCGGCAAACTCACGAAATTTCACACTCAACACGGCATTGTTCTGACGTGTGGTCAAATTCACATTCATCTGATCGGGGACCACGACAAAGTTGACCAAATTTTCCTCGATTTCGGTCTGGATGAAATTTACCAACAATTTTAATCGTTTTATAAAACAAAGTTCCCATCTGTCGAATTTGTATTTAATATGATCAGTGCCTATATAGGGATTGAACAATTTAAAAAATCAAATGATATGAACACCAATCGGATACACACATACATATCGGCTTTGAACTAATTGAAAACCTGAAACATATTTTCGTTTCTGCAATCGTAACTGTTCAAAATCCGTTTAATAGGTATGTTTACGTTAAATAAGTAGATATCATAACTAAAATTTGCGTCATTGCGCGTGCCAACCTTATATATTGAAAAATATTACGTCAATCAAATACTTGAGTCTGGCTAGAGTCTCATGTTACACGAAACGGGGCGAGAAGAATCGATATGACAATGCCGTCATAGCAATATGAATTAAATTTCATTTTGTAAAGTTTTCCAAAGAGCAATTGAAACTCTGTTACTTTAGTACATTTAGATCTTATTTCATGTCATCGGAAATATAAGAACAATGAAAATTCATTTTTAAACTTTAAACATCACTAAACTCAATTTTATTTTTACTTTGTCTCGCTGTATATTTAGTCACTCCGTTGACAGAACTACTGAAGAAATTAATTTCAAAACAGATAAGTTGTTAGTGATAGTTGATAAAACATATTCCCTTAAAAACGATAGGGACGAGAGACACTAAATATGCGGCATTAAAACCATTTGCATGTGTTTGAGCGTTTATTCTCATTCCTCCGACATTTGAATTCATAAAAGCACAAATGTATTCGTAATAGAAAAAACAGGAAATGTTTTCCGGTAATACCGTGTCGATGGATTCCGAGAGGTAAAATTAATGACCGCATACATACACATTAGAACCATCTGCGGTTCTGCCGGTCCCGCTGGCTCGATTTGCTAAATGTCGGGAGACCATACAGTGAACCATTAGCGATAGCCGTTTCCATCCATGCGTAATTGCCTAATAAACGAAACAAATCCGTGTGTTAGACTTCTCGTCATTGGGGAACTGTGACGCTATTGACAAAGATAGCCTACTTCATTATCACGCTATCAATTGATTCTGGCCCAATTAGATCGGCATTTTATTGGACACACACTGTTTAATGGGTCCAGCGGTGTATTAGTGAATATAACCCAGTCGACCACCTATTGCTGACCGTAATTCCAATTACTGCGGGACTATTAAAGAAGTTTTCCTAAATAAGGAAGACGGCAACGGTGATCAGTAATCCGGGGCCTGATTTAGGTAATTTATTTAGCGGAAACTGGTGTGGTTCAAAAGATTTTTTTTATAAATGTTAAAAAAGAATCTTGCACACAAAACAGATGCGGAAATTTCTTTCCGTTGTGCGTTTCGCCGCATAGATGCCAGCAGTACATCACCTCCCTGTCATTCAGTTCTTTCACTACCACTGTTACGGACATTTTCTAAGATCTGATAGGACTGAGCCAGGGAACAGAATCCAAAGCCTTCCTGAAAAGGCGAAAATTAGCTAAAGGCTAAAATAGAAGGAAGATCAAATCTTTATCTAAGCTCATGGATTGGACCACGTGAGGAACAAAAAGTACATTGGTATTAAGATGAGAGGATTTTTTTAGCAGTATGATAAGAGATTGACGGGCATATTCTGCCAGCAAATGTTTCATTTTCGGAAAAATCTATATTGATATACATGATTGTAAAAAATGACTAGTAGAACATTGCTCGAGATATCGAATGACGTAGTTTGGTGTCCGGTATACATGTCCAAGCCCAAGTGACGCCAAGTAGTCTGGACATTGCATCTCCATATAAGGCCATGGTCCCTAGAGGTCCAAAGTGATTGGACGATGGTCGTTTGGAAAACGATATCATGTTGTGTTTGGCATTTTTCACGGACAAAATATGACATTTGCTTTTTGATCTTTATTTCAAAAGAGTTCCATATGATCGTAGTTGACTACTCATACAGTCAATATCATTTCGCTTTATGAGTCTAGATTGAAATTGGATAACCATGTATATATATAACACATACAACATTTCATGATCAAACGGAATTACTTTACATAATATTACGTTAACCCTTTCATGTTCCCATGGGTCTAATATTGTTGCTGCAAAGTACTTCATTTTTGAGGACACAAATTTTGCTATCCGTTGTGCACCCTGGAAAATTTATCCAAAAAAGAAACACTCTTTTGATCCTTCTAATTTCAATGTTGTTTGGAATACTATTTTCGCGTTCAGATATTCCAAAAGACATTCATTGCGTCAACAACGATTCATTTGCATTGGAAAACAAGTAATAAATAACAAGGACGCGAAATTAAGCACCTCCAAAACGATTCTAATCTACAGGATAAGCCTATTTCCTTTGTCGAGATACTTTTAGAGTCTTTTCGCCATATACATGTGTGCGTTATCTCGTATATAATATCTGAAATCTTTTTGAATGAACTTGCTGTGAGAAAAGTGGAGACGGAAAAGAAATTACCACGTGTATACAATGGGCGTTCAAAACCAATGACCACTGACCAAGAACTTCTAACAATTAAACTGAAGAAAACTGACCATAACTAAAATAATTAACACGTGTCACGTGATCAACAATAAATAAATAAATGTATTGGCAAATGCAATATTTGAAAATTAAGTAGAAGAGCCCTTGACCTTCGTTTGATTAGAAAATTTAATTCGACAGCAGGAATGCGGTAAATGATTATCAATAACAATCAAATTGTTTAAATGGAAGTTTAACGGACATTTGTAAATCGGGACCTCTTTATCCGGAATTGGAATCTAAGGTCAACATTTTCCCATAACACTAAACAATATTAGGAATTAAATGACTCTATTGGTTTCACATATCTTTACTGCATTGTGTATGATAATGGTACGTGACTTTACTGCAGAACAACAGCTAGTTTAACACTTAGTGACAGTGTGTATTAAGGTTATTTATAGAACAATTGCAGCTGAAAACAGCCATTATCTCAAATACCATCTATCGATTCCAAACCAATTAGACAACAAAAGACACGTTAAACGGCATAGAGAAAACAACAGTTTGTAAACCATGGGCAATAAATCATAATGGTAAAGTTCTAGTGTCGACTATTGGTCATCACTGGTCAAACAGTAGGATTAAAAAGGATAATGGGTATATGATAGGTTGGCGAAATCATGATGTTTAAAACGTCTTGTAGGTTGGTTTTAAAGGGACATGGTCACATTTTATAGACTGTGAGAGACAGGAGATCTGTTTCAAATATTATATTTTCACTGGCGACACATCTTATTTTTTAACATAGTAACGGTATACTTTCTTTTTTAATGTGGATCACAATTATTACTTGTCTGTTTTTCTGTATAAATGAAACGAGAACATATAAAACTGATAACTATTGGTCATCATTTTTTTAACAGAAGACAGTACTGCTTTCTACTGTCATCAGCCAGCTCGATAGTTTTAAATCTTAGT